GGAGATAGGAGTCTCAAGGTCTTTCCTGCCTGGGCTGGCTTTGAACCGTGATCTTCAGATCTCAGCCTCCTGAGGAGCTAGGATGATAGGCATGAGCCACCAGTACCCAGCTTCAACTTCGTTTTTTGGGGTTTATAACCAGTATGAAGATTAAAGGCAATGGGGATTACAATTTAACTTCAACCCCTTTTCCCCATAAATTTAGTGCCAATTTATTCTTCTAGTCTAACAATTAAATAAGTGAACACTGGATCAACCCATGATGCAAAGTCGGGGAGTGGGGGAAGTGCTGGGAGACAGTGAAACACTCTTAGAGAAAAACAGGTAAAAATTAGAGGACTATAAACAACTGACTCAGCCAGAAAAGATTAAAGCAAGTCAGTCCACAAGGGGAAGTAAATATCAGCACTGTCACGAAGCTGTAGACACCAGGCTGGACAGGCATTTGGGAAGAAGGTGAGGACTGGGTTGCAGTGCAGAAGCTATGTACATAAAGTCAGTGGGAAGAGGATTCAGGAGATGAAGGAGTGAAGTGAAAAATGGGAAAACTGCTACAAGAAGAACTGGAAAAAGGTAGGGCATCCAGCTTTTTCACCCAAGAGAATATGTGTAAGTTTACTCCCTAGGAAGGGCTAAAAACTGGCCCAGTGGACACAGGACTTCTCGTCGTATACTAAAGGACCAATACTCCTTCTTCTCTCAACACGTAAGCGTTTGAAACAGGTCAAAGAAACAAAAACAAATAAGGGAAGTTTATTATAACAACCCCTCACTAAAAGGGGTCAAATGCAAAGTAGAGCCCTACCCCAGGAAGGACATACAAGGAACATACCTGATGAAATGAGTACCAAGAGAGAGAGAACGCATGAATAAAAATAAAATGGAAAGTAAGATCTTACTAACCAACTGGGCCAAACAGATTCCCACTATTTAAAAATACATGTTTAAATAGGCATTCTCAATCAAGAGAGTTTTCCTAACTTTTGCCTTGACCATAAATGGTTCTGGGGGTCTCCTAAAGCTAAATAAATCATAAGGCTGTGGGAAAATGCCAGATAAAGCCATTAAATCTACTGTTTCTCTATCATACATGGACACACAGCATAACCTGAGTTCACACAAAATAAAAATTTTAATTATGTGGTTCTGTTTTTCTAATCAATATTCTAGAAGTTTCTAATTTGCAAGTGAATTCCAAGATCCCTCTTCTAAAATTAAAATGTAAATTATTTGGAATTTAGAACTCGAGCATTCAGAGCCTTTATCGATAGCTTTATATTAAAAAAACCAAACAAACCATTCTGAGCTCCAATTCCTCTAGTTATGAGCTGGGGTCTAAGGCCTGCTTTCCCTCTTTGTAGCTGGCCATTCCCTATTCCACATGGCAAATTGTAGGAATCTTGGCAGCATGATGCAGACCTCCCTCTTCAAATCTGGTTGTTTTTTTTTAACCAAATCAATAATTCTAAAGGATGTTTTGTTTTATTATTTATTTATTGCCAGTCATGGAGCTTGAACTCAGTGCCTGGGCATTGTCCCTGAGCTTCTTTTGCTCAAGGTTAGCACTCTACCACTTGAGCCACAGTGCCATTTCCAGCCTTTTCTGTGTATATGGTTCTAAGGAATTGAACCCAGGGCTTCATGCATGCAAGGCAAGCACTCTACTACTGAGCCACCTTCCCAGCTCCTGTTTTGTTCCTTAAAGAAAACAGGCTAAATCTGAGATAGGAAAGCAGGAAGAGAAATACATTTCAAGAAAATGAATTTATGCTGGATCTTCCCTCCTTCCCCACTTTTTTTGTCCCAGTGCTGGGGCTTGAACTCAGCGAATGAATGCTGTCTCTGTGTTTTTTGCTTAAGGTTAGCATTCTACTACTTGGATTACAGCCCCACATCTGGAGTTCTGCTGGTTACTTGGAGATAGGGGTCTCACAGGTTTTCCTGCTTGGGCTGGCTTTACACCTAGATCCTCAGATCTCAGCCTCCAGAGTAGCCAGGATTACAAGCATAAGCCACTGGTGCCTGACTTCCCTTCTCCTTTTTTGCGACAGGATCTCCCTGTGTACAGTTCACGTTAGTCTCAAATTCCTGGGTTTAAGAATCTTCCTGCCTCAATCTCCCAAGTGCTGTGACTAAAACAGTCATATCCCACTAGTCCTGGCTTAGTTTGGCATGATTCTAATTGCATCTCTCTGGCTGTCAAGTGAGCTCATTCAGCTTCAGAGTTGTAAATATTATCTATGACCTGTATTTCAAAAGACTGATCCCATCAGTGTTAATTCTTTCTCTGACCTGCGCCTAGGTCATATTGTTAACTGAAGGTTTGAGACGTCGACTTCCCCACTTTTACCTGTCTTCCCATCATGTTCCTATCTGTCTCTCTGAGCCCCCAACAGAATCTAGAGGGCTGAGCATGGAAGTCCTTGACTGTAGCTCCAGCCCAGGAGTTTGAGACCAGTCTGAGCAACATAGAACAAAAACTCAAGCCAAATAAAAAACGAACAAACAAAAATTCCAAACCCACCGACCGCATCTCCACCTCAAGCTAGACCATATTACTCCTTAAATCCTCCCTCATATTTCAAAGTCCTTACTGTGGCCTGTGAAGCCCAGAAACATCTGTTTCTGCAGCACCTCTTACCACAGTCTCATTACTGTTTGGTTCTGAATTCTAGCTAGTAGGTGCTCTTTGCTGTTGCATTACTATGCCATGCACGTTCTCACCCCAGGGCTTTCACACTTATCTCCACTGCCGGGATTGCTCTTCTGCCAGACAGACACTTGGGCTTGCATCCTCACTTTCCAGATCTTGGCTTAAATGTTACCATCTCACAAGAGGCCTTATCAATCCATATAAAACAGAAAACCATGTGGTAATATGTTCCTTCATATATTAATTCTTTAAATTTTATTTACCTTTCTGACGCTTAATAGAAATGTAGCCTCCAGTAATTATGAGGACAGAAAATAACTTTTTTTTTTTGTTTGGTTGGTCATGGTGCTTGAACTCTGGGCCTAGGCACTGTCCCTCATCTCTACAGCTCAAGGCTAATGCTCTACCACTGGAGCCTCAGTGCCACTTCTGGTTTTCTGATGATGGAGAGTCTCATGGACTTTCCTTGCCTGGGCTGGCTTTGAACTGCAATCCTCAGATCTCAGCCTCCTGATCTTTTTTTTTTTTGGTCGGTCATGGGGCTTGAATTCAAGGCCTGGGTGCTGTCTCTGAGCTCTTTTGCTCAAGGATAGCCTTCTGAGTAGCTAGGATTACACGTGTGAGCCACCAGGTGCTTGGTAGTACTTTCGTTTTAGTTCATGCTAATTAACTAATGCTCGAAACAGTGGAGGCCATTGCATGGTGTTCATCAACCGTCTATTGAATGAATGAATGAAGAAACTGTTCCAAGCACTTGAAATAGAGCTTCCTTTACCAATGAGGTGAAAGTCTAGTGTGTGCACAAATGATTACTAATAATACGTGACTGTCTTGTATAGGAGGAGAAGCCTGGAAAGGAAAATGAGATCTGAATTCTCTCCCCACAATAGGGTCTTACATTTATGACTGGGTGGAATACAATCCTAGTTATGCTTCCCATGTAGCTCTGAAGACGGATGTACACCCACATCTAGTTTTATTTGCTGAGAAGGATCGCCTAGATGTTTTGTGCAGGTTGGTTCTGCACCATAACTCCTCAGTAGCTAGGATGACAGGCATGAGCAACTTACAACCAGACCTATAATGGGTTTTGAAAAACAAACTGAAAGAAGTGGCTCAGAGGAGGACAATACTTAATATGTGTGTTTTGTGCGTTTTTTTGGGGGTCAGTTGTGGAGCTTGAATTCAAGGCCTGGGCACTGTCCTTAAGCTCTTTTTGCTCAAGGTTGGTGCTATACTACTTTGAGCCATGGGTCTACTTCTGGTTTTCTGTGGGTTAGTTGGAGAAAAGACTCTCAGGGCCTTTCCTGCATGGGCTGGCTTTGAACCATGATCCTCAAATCCTCAGGCTCCTGAGCAGCTAGGCTTACAGATGTGAGCCACCAGTGCCCAGCAAATACTTGTTTGTGATGTAGTATATGTAAACTGTGGAAAGGAAATTCATTTGGCAAATGAGCTTACACTTTATTTTACATGCATGAGGCCCTGAGTTTGATTCCTCAGCATAACATAAGCAGAAAAAACACCAGAAGTAGTGATGTGGCTCAAGTGGTAGAGCACTAGCCTTGAGCTGAAGAGCTGAGGGACAGCGCCCAGGCCCAGGGTTTAGGTCCTATGGCCAACAAAGAATAAAAATTTAAAAAAAGAAAAAAAAAGAAACAAAGAAAAGAAAATGCTCTGATGAGGGATTTTTTTCTTCTTCTTTTTCACTTTTGTTGGCACTGATACTAAGGCGTGAACTCACACCTCCTGATCTTGCTTGGCTTTTTTTTTTTTTTTTTTGGTCGGTTGTGGGGCCTGAACTCTGGGCCTGGGTGCTGTCCCTCAGCTCTTCAGCTCAAGGCAAGCGTTCTACCACTAGAGCTACAGTGCTACTTCCGGTTTTCTGGTGGTTTATTGGAGATAAGAGTCTCACGGTCTCTCCTGCCCAGGCTGGCTTTGAACCGTGATCCTCAGATCTCAGCCTCCTGAGTAGCTAGGATTACAGGCGTGAGCCACCAGCGCCCGGCTTTGCTTGGCTTTTTTGTTCAAGGCTGACACTCTACCACTTGAGCCACACCTCTACTTCTAGCTTTTTGCTTGGTAACTGGAGATAAAGGTCTTGTGAAATGTTTTTCTGGGCTTTAGATCTCAGATCTCCTGAGCAGCTACGATTACAGGCCTGAAACATAGGTGCCTACCTGGTTTATTTTGCTTTTTAAGCTCACCATTTCACTGCTGTGCAACCATTTCTTAGAATTTTGGATACAAAGATGTAAATTTTTCCAGAAATGAAATAATGTACAAGAGTAATGAAACAATTCTTTTTTTTTTTTTTTGGTTGGTCGTGGGGCTTGAACTCAGGGATTGGGCGCTTTCCCTCAGCTCTTCAGCTCAAGGCAAGTGCTATCACTTGAGCCACAGCGCCACTTCCGGTTTTCCAGTGGTTTATTGGAGATAAGAGTCTCATGGACTTTCTTGCCAGGGCTGGGTATGAACAGTGATCCTCAGATCTCAGCCTCTTGAGTAGCTAGGATTACAGGAGTGAGCCACCAGTGCCCGGCTGAAACAATTCTTTCTGAATTTCTCAAATGCAGTTCCTAAAACAAATCTAATTGGATTGCCTAATTTTTTTTCTAGTCTGTTTATTTGCATGGATATATTCCAATTGCTTAGGATGGTATCTGACCAATAGTAGGTATTTATTATACACTTGTTTAATTAATATGTAAGAAACTTATTCAAAGAGAATGGATAAACAACACTGGAAAGGAAATCTAAAAGTCTGCATGAATGCCCTGCTTAAAGCAAAAAAAATCTACTTATTTTGTGTCTAGTGTTCTCATTCATTACTTACTGTATCTGCAGCCGTGAGATTGATGCCCAGTCCTCCGGCTCGTGTGCTTAACAGAAACACAAAGATGTCATTCCTGCAGAAAAAAGGAAGGACAGGGGAAAATGTTAAAAAAATATTTTCAAAAGAAAAAATGAATATTCCAAAAGAGTGGAATCTCTGAATAGGAGGTCTAAGGCTAAAGAGTGTTCTGGTGGTTACTGAGGTGTGATTCATATCCTCTTGAGACATTATACAAAGGCACTGTGTTGCTAAATTAAAATGATGGAAATTTGATCTTCTAATCTACCATTCTGTAAAGTTTTAGATATGGTACAAGGATACTAAATTACGATGTCAAATGAATTCTATTTTTTTTTTTTTTTGTCGGTCGTGGGGCTTGAACTCTGGGCCTGGGCGCTGTCCCTCAGCTCTTCAGCTCAAGGCTAGCACTCTACCACTTGAGCCACAGTGCCACTGCTGGTTTTCTAGTAGTTTATTGGAGATAGGAGTCTCAAGGTCTTTCCTGCCTGGGTTGGCTTTGAACCGAGATGCTCAGATCTCAGCCTCCTGAGTAGCTAGGATTACAGGCGTGAGCCACCGGCGCCCAGATAAATGAATTCTATTCTAAAACAAATGAAAGCACTGGCATCAGGAAGTTCTCATCTCTTTAGGCTGTTCTTCCTTGGTAGTCACTTGACTGCTATAAAATCAGGATGCTACAAATAGTTGAAATGACTAAATGATGACATGTCAATGTCAACATGAGTATTAGTGAAGGAACTATTTATTCTGAAATAAGCATCCTGGTTAGTTACTAGGCTTGGTAGGTCCTGGTAAAAATCTGCCCATTATCTACATTCAATAAAATAACTTTCCTAGAGGTAGGTAGAGATAACAGTAGCTAGAAGGCCCCTTACAGGTCATGATTCCAAAAAAATTTTTTGTCTTGTTTTGTTTTTTTGGGGGGTCCGGTTGTAGGGCCTGAACTCTGGGCCTGGGCACTGTCCCTCAGCTCTTCAGCTCAAGGCGAGCGCTCTAACACCTGAGCCACAGTGCCACGTCCAGCTTTTTTCTTTTTGCTTATGTGGTGCTGAGGAATCGAACCAGGGCCTCAGGCATGCAAAGCAAGCGCTCTACCACTGAGCCACCTTCCCAGCCTGGGACTCCAAAAATTTTGTACTCCCAAGAAAGTTCTGGTAGTTTCACCTTCAATTTTACTTTGCATTATTTTCTTTTTTGTTCTTTCATCTTTGAATATTTCAGAATTTTAATAATTTATACGATTTTTAAAAAACTAAATCACACATGATAAACCAGACTGTTGAAAGGTATCTATCAGTTTATAAACACAGAACCACACAGGTTCATGGAATATTTAACCACAAGTTTTCAAATAAAAACTAAGCTTTTGGGGTTGGGAAGGTGGCTCAGTGGTAGCATGCTTGCCTTACACGCATGCGGCTATGGGTTCAATTCCTCAGTACCACATAAAAAGAAAAAGCCGGAAGTGGCGCTGTGGCTCAAGTGGTAGAGCACTAGCCTTGAGCTGAAGAGCTGAGGGACAGTGTTCAGGCCCAGAGTTCAGGCCCCTTAACCAATAAAAAACAAAAACAAAAACAAAAAGTAAGCTGCCACTGAGCTTTTTTTTTTAGGTCCGGTCATGGGGCCTGAACTCTGGGCCTGGGAACTGGACCTCAACTCCTCAGCTCAAGGCTAGTGTTCTACCACTTGAGCCACAGTGCCACTTCCGGCTTTATTTTTTTTGGTTATGTGGTGCTGAGGAATTGAACCCAGGGCCTCACGCATGCAAGGCAAGCACTCTACCACTGAGCCACCTTTCCAGGCCCTCACTGAGCTTTTTTTGTTCAAGGCTAGCACTATACCACTTGAGCCACAGCTCCATTTCTGGCTTTTTTGATACTTTAATTGGAGATATGATTTTCATGTATCTGGTAAGGGTGACCAATAGCTAGGATTTTTTTTTTTGTTGTTGTTGCAATTTTGGAACTCCTAGAACAGGGTGTGAGTGGGAGAAAGGAAACAGGTAGAGAATGGAGACAGAGACCACAAAATAAAGTGGTGAGCCAGAAAGGCTGCAGTTTGAGCTAAGGAATTTAGTTGCCAGATATATGGCAACTACCTAAATAAGGAACATATAGAGAAAAATACCACAGAAAGCTTGTAGAAACACTACCAACTGTACACTGAAAAGATGCTTTCCGATGCAATGTATGGTATACAAAGTCTGGCTGCATCAAAATAGTGTTATATTGTCATGGAAAATAAGGATTACAGAAATAATCTTGGGGGCTAGAAATGTGGCTTAGTGGTAGAGTGCTTGCCTAACATGCATGAAGCTCCAGGTTTGATTCCTCAGCACCACATGCGCAGAAAAAGCCAGAAGTGGTACTGTGCTCAAGAGGTAGAGTGCTAGCCTTGAGCCCAAGGAGGCTCAAGGTCAGTGCCCAGGCTCTGAGTTCAAGTTCTAAGACTGGCAAAAATAAAAATAAAAAATAAAAATTTTGGGTTGTTGAAACAAAAGAAGTTAGATTCCATTCCCAATTATGCTGTTGAGGCCATTTATTTATTTTTGGTCAGTCGTGGGGCTTGAACTCTGGGCCTGGGTTCTGTCCCTCAGCTCTTCAGCTCAAGGCTAGTACTCTACCACTTGAGCCACAGCGCCACTTCCAGTTTTCTGTTGGTTAATTGGAGATAAGAGTCTCACAGACTTTCCTGCCCAGGGTTGACTTTGAACCGTAATCCTCAGATCTCAGCCTCCTGAGTAGGTGATTACAGGCGTGAGCCAATGGCGCCTGGCCCGTTGAGGTTATTTATGAACAAAAACATCTAAATCAAATTGCTGACAAGTTTACTTATTCATAATGCCAAGTTAATGTTTTGAGACCTGATTGAACAGAAGAAAACAAAATCCCAGAAGGCCAACAGTGGTGGCTTGGGTGCCCTCTAGGGGCTGAAAAGGAGTCTCACTCAAGGTCTTAGTTGAATTAGATGTCATTTTGTGTTTTTGTGTATGTGTGGGGCTTATCTGCAAAAGGGTCTATAAAGTCAACCACACGACAAAGACATGCCTAGATCTTACTTTTATTCTTTTTTAATGACGTTTCTCTGCACTAAAATCCCCTAACAGTGCTCACCATAATGAACTGACGCCAAAGCTTGTTGAATGAAAGAGAAAGAATGAAAGGTAACACTGAAGCCCTGTATTACTCTAACCAAAAAAGAAAAAGCATGCTACCTACCTTTTTATTTTTTTTAATGGTTTGCAGAGGGTCACCCTGAATAGCCAGAGAGTTGTGGGGTGAACTGAGGATATATTTGGTAAAGATGATGGGGCTGAAAGAAGAAGGGAAGCAGAAGCCAAGGCATCACAGAGCAAAGACCTTGTGAATGGCTGCTAGGATCATGCACTGGGTCACATGTTCTGAATGCTGCCCAGTCAGGACATCCTGGCCAAACAGTTTTCAGTCCCAGTCAGTTTTTCCTGGAAGGATCTCTCATAAATCTCATATGAAGGGAATGTAAATGGCTTTTTATAGGAGTTCTTGTTTACTCTGGCTGACCTTTGAGCCATAGGGCTTTCCAGTTCAAGCTACCAATTTTTTTTAATGCCTTTTCATTAGTAATAGTGAAAAGATTTGGCAACACCTGTCTCTATGTTGGTCGATAGCAGTCACTGAAACTTATAAGAACTGCTTCCCATGTGGAAAGGTCAGTATAATGAGCTTCTGAAGATCAGAACAGTCACAGCTCAGAAAACACACACAAAGAATAGTGATTTCTTAGCTATATCGCAACTTTAAGAATTTATGCTACATAATAGAGGCCGACTTCCTTCATGGTTCCCCATCATGTACACAGGGTGAGAATCATGGTTTGCCTAATGCTGACTCTGCATCAACTCACTGCTCCCTATGTGATTCTCAGTCGTGGGGTGTAGAGGCTGAGGTAATATTTCCTAGGAAAAGCTTTGCAAGCAAGTAGAATTTAATATAGTACAATAAGAAGATGTAACACATAGGTATTGTATCTAAAATTCTTGTCTAGAGCCTCTTTGGCTGGAGTAGACAAGGACCTGACAAAGTACATTTCATAATTTCAGAATGAAGAAAAGATAAAAATTGGGCTGGGAAGGTGGCTCAGTGGTAGAGCACTTGCCTTGCATGCCTGAGGCCCTGGGTTCAATTCCTCAGCACCACATAAGCAAAAAGGAAAAAGCCGGAAGTGGCGCTGTGGCTCAAGTGGTAGAGCGCTAGCCTTGAGCTGAAGAGCCGAGGGACAGTGCCCAGGCCCAGAGTTCAGGCCCCATGACCGGACCCCGTCCCCCCCCCCAAAAAAAATAAATAAAGACTTAAAAAAAAAAAAAGATAAAAATTACTTTTTCTCTTTTTACCATAACAATGTAGCAGGCTATGAGATACTGCTATGCTTATACATGCTTCAAATAATACATTTCAGCCGGGCGCTGGTGGCTCACGCCTGTAATCCTAGCTACTCAGGAGGCTGAGATCTGAAGCCAGCCCGGGCAGGAGAGACCGTGAGACTCCTATCTCCAATAAACCACCAGAAAACCGGAAGTGGCGCTGTAGCTCAAGTGGTAGAGCGCTTGCCTTGAGCTGAAGAGCTGATGGACAGCGCCCAAGCCGAGTTCAATCCCCACAACCAACAAAACAAAAAACAAAAAACAAATAATACATTTCACAATCTGTTGATAGCTTCTACTAGATGAAAAACTAGTAGCTGCTGCAAGGTAATAAAGAACTGGTTCAAAATGATCTCTACCACTGGCCAGACAGCTACCTGAATGTTGGTTTACAGTATTATTTCCCTCAGTGCTGAGAATGGAACCCAGGGTCTCACACATGTCAGGTAAGCACTTAAGTTACATCCCAAACCTTGATGTATATCAAGGTTTTTTTAGGAGGTTTTGGGCCTATCTGGATATATACTAAACTTTTTTTTTTTTTGAATTTTTCTTTGCCAATCATGGGGCTTGAACTCTGGGCCTGGGTGCTGTCCTTCAGCTCTTCAGCTCAAGGCTAGCACTCTACCACTTGAGCCACAGCGCCACTTCTGGCTTTTTTCTGCTTATGTGGTGCTGAGGAATCGAACCCAGGGCCTCATGCATGCAAGGCAAGCACTCTACCACTGAGCCACCTTCCCAGCCCCTACACTAAACTTTTTATAAAAACATGAGGGATATCTTCTTACTGTGCTTCATTCAAAGGGTACCAGAGCAAAAATTTACAAAGAGAAGAATTTTATGTTCACTATTGATGTATTTAGGCTAAACTACTTTGTAAGTGAATTAAATTATGCTTTAAAACTGAAATGAGCTAGGTATGGTGGTACAGGCCTATAATCCCAGCATTTGGGAGGCTGAGGTAAGAGAATCACAAGTTGGAGGACAGACTGAACCACAGAAGAAGATAAACAATATACTTCTCAAAAACAAAACAAAATGAAACTTCAATGAAAGAAATTAAAATTAGTAGGCATAAAGGATGATGGGCTTAAATTTCTTTCCAAGAATTAAAAAGCAATTATCAAGCAACGCAATGAAAATCCAGAAAGGCAAATCCATTTAGATTTGTAGACATTAAATCTGATTTATTCTTCAATTCTCCAGGTTTAAGGAAGAAGTTGAAGGGTGTGGCTCAGCAGCCCTATCACCAGCAGGGCTTGGTTTTCTCTCTGGAGAGAGCAGTAACCAGACTCTACTTCCTAGAAGATGAGAACAAGCACTCAGGATAATTATGGCTATGTAAACCATCAGCATTCAGCAGGTGGCATTTGAAGTTGCACAGACTCATTAGCAGGTGGAGAGGTACTATGACTGAGATCAATGAGCTGAACAGACTGCAAACTACAACAAGCCACAATGCTAACAGCCAAGGAAAAGAAGGTATTTAACTTTAAACTTACACAAAATGATTCAAAATCAATCAAAACTCAGTAAGCTGACACCCACAGAGATAGCTACTGTTAACACTTAAGAATATGGCCTTGTTCACTGGGCGCTGGTGGCTCACGCCTGTAATCCTAGCTACTCAGGAGGCTGAGATCTGAGGATCACAGTTCAAAGCTAGCCTGGGCAGGAAAGTCCATGAAACTCTTATCTCCAATAAACCACCAGAAAACTGGAAGTGGCGCTGAAGCTCAAGTGGTAGAGCATTAGCCTTGAGCTGAGGGACAGCACCCAGCCCCAGAGTTCAAGCCCCACGACAGACAAAAAAAAAAAAAAATAATATGGCCTTGTGGACAGACATTATTCACAAAGGAGGACTTTTACTCAAATTCAGAAAGTCTTTTACCAACTAAACAAATAGGCACTGATACAGTACTGAAAACGTATTTAAAACAAAACTAACCATACCAGGGATATTCTCCCTGACATAGATCTGAATCCCTATAAGCAAACTTAACAACCTCTTAAAATGCACTAGCTGAGTGTGATGGCATGCATTTGCCTATAATCTCAGTACCTGGGAAGTAGAGACAAGGACTGTCAGTTTGAGACCAGTTTGTGCTAAACAGTGAGACTCCATTAAAAAAAGAAAAATTGGCTGGGCACAGGTCGCTCACTCATTTAATCCTAGCTACTCAGGAGGCTGAGATCTCAGGGTCACGGTTCCAAGCCAGCGTGGGCAGGAAAGTCCATGAGACTCTTATCTCCAATTAACCACCAAAATCCCAGAAGTAGCACTATGGCCAAGTGGTAGAGCGCCACCCTTGAGCTGAAGAGCTGAGGGACAGCGCCCAGGCCCAGAATTCAAGCCCCACGACCAACCAACAAACCAACCAAGCAACAACAACAAAAAAATCATGATTGTTTAACATTCTAAGTTATGTTGGTATTCCTTTTCAACATTTTGAGCACTAGAGGAAGACCAAAGAGTGTTTTTTTTTTCTTTTTGCAAATCGCATGCATTGGCATTACCTGGTCTGAAAATCAGCAACCATGTCCCGCCTCTCAGAGATCTTGGATGAGCCATCGAGTCGCATGTAGGTGTGCTTCCTGTAAACCATGTATTCCTGCCAACCAGGACAAAGGAACATAATAAATCTGATGCAAATAGTTGTATTCTAATGCTCACAAGCACCTACCCACATTCATCCATTTTAGAGTTCAAGTCTCAGTTTCAACTTGGAATCTAATCTTATCCTTTCAGATTTCTTTAGGGTTTATGAAGATAGTTGCCCATCAAAATGAAATTCCCCAATCAAAATAGCTTTTCAGCCACTGACTAGATGTTTTACAGTCATTAACATATCATCTTCCTTTAGCAAGTAACACTTGTACTACACGTGCCCTGCTCCATCCTCAGCTAATTCTACTGTCCAAAGTTCTTGAATTTACCACCTTAGAATAAGAGTGAAACAGAAGATACCCATTTTTCTCTAGTGTTCTTGACATCATCAAAGAGGAGTTACAGCTTTTTAACAATGCTGAAGAGTTCACATCTATAATCTTAGCTATTCAGGAGCCTGAAATCAACATCACAATTCAAAGCTAGCTCACGCAGAGTATAGTTTAGCTCTACTTATCTAGGAAAGACTATCTCCAATTAACTAGAAAAATGCTAGACCAAAGGGAGAATACTAGCAGGAAGCTGGGGAAAAAAAACAAGCCAGATCTGAAGGCCCTGAGTTCAAACCTCAGTATCAGAAAAAAAAAAAATAGGGACACTGATCAAGACACATTGCACTTACAGGTTGGCATGTTGAACTGAAACCTCTTTGTATAAATACTTAAAGATAATTAAAAGAAAAAAGTTAGAAGGGCCAGGAATGTGGCTTAGGGGTAGAGTGCTTGCCTAGGAATGCATGAAACTCTGGTTTGATTCCTCATCACCACATAAACAGAAGTGGCACTGTAGCTCAAGTGGTAAGAGTGAGCACAGAGAGGCTCAGGGACGGTATCCAGACCCTGAGTTCAAGCCGTAGGATTGGCCAAAACAACAAAAACAAAAAAAGAATGTGGAGACATACTCTCTATTGCGTTCCTTAGCCTATTCTCCAGTGCCAGTCTTAAGTCATAATTCCTTTCATAGACAAGAGTAAATTAGTATTTCCTCTTTTGTTGCCGATCATTATAGTACAAAAGGTCCACTAGAGAGCAAACAACATCAAAAGGGCAACACAGCTGCCTATTTATAAAAAGCATCACTAAGTAGGGGATGGTGGCACAGAGTTATTGGCTACTAGCTACATGGTCAGCTCCAGACCAGCCTGAGCTACATAACGAGACCCCGTTTCAAAAGCCAACCTAGGGGCTGGGAAGGTGGCTCAGTGGTAGAGTGCTTGCCTTGCATGTATGAGGCCCTGGGTTTGATTCCTCAGCACCACATAAACAGAAAAAACCAGCAGTGGCACTGTGGCTCAAGTAGTACAGCACTAGCCTTGAGCTGAAGAGCTTAGGGAGTGCCCAGGTCCAGGGTTTAAGCCCTATGACCAACAACAACAACAACAACAAAAAGCCGAACTATACAACAGAGAGTATCATGAAAAGGTTAAAGGAGTCCTTCCCTGTCCACTTTCACTTTCCCTTGTTTCAGTTACACACAGTAAACCACTATATGAAAATACTCAATTGAAAACTTGAGCAACAACTCAAATAACTTTCATTACAGTATATTTTGAAAATTGATTAGTAGCTCACACCTGTTATCCTAGCTCTTCAGGAGGCTCAAGATGTGAGGATCATGGTTCAAAGCCAGCTCCAGCCAACAAACCCAAGAGACTCTTATTAACACCCAAGCAGCAAAAAGCTGAAGTGGAGGTGTGGCTCAAGTAGTTGAGTGCCAGCCTTGCATGAAAGAGCTAAGGGAGAGTGGGAAGCCATGGGTTCAAGCACAGTACAGGTACAACAAAACAAAACAACAAAAACTCCAGTGTATATGGAGTTTTGGGGTACGTGGGAACCTTGGACATATATGCTACAGATAAAACAATTGCACTTTGGTCCTAAAATAACTTCTTTATTGAAAAAGACTAAAGACTAATCATTTCTATATTTGGGAACTGCTTGTGCCTTTTTTTTTTTTTTTTTTTTGCTGGTCCTGGGGCTTGAACTCAGGGCCTGGGCTCTGTCCCTGAGTGCTACTATGCTCTAGGTGAGCACTCTATCACTTGTGCCACTTCGGGCTTTCTCTGTTTATATGGTACTAAGGAATCGAACCCAGGGCTTCATGAACATTAGGCAAGCACTCTACCACTAAGCCACATTTCCAGCCCCTGCTTGTGTTTTCTATATTCTAACTATTATTACTTTTGTGTATGACAGTCTTGCAATGATGCCCTGGCTGGCTCTGAATTTGCCATCTGGCCTCAGCCTCTTGAGTACTAAGATTAGAGGCATGCAGCGGTTCACCACCACATCTGGCATTCTTCTACTGTAGTATTCTCATACATGGCTCTTACACCTGGTAAACAATGTGCTCAGCTTTTTGTTGGTTAGGATGGAGGTAAGTGGTCTGGTGAACTTTCTGCTCAGGATGGTTGCAAACTGCAATCCTGATCTCAGGCTCCCAAGTATCTATTTGAACCACTGTGCCCAGTTTCACGGAAATGTTTTTCTAAGCAAATCTTATATAGAACTTCTCTACAATATAAAATGGATAAAAACATTAAACTGTGGCTGAAGAATAAGTACTGGGGCTTGAACTCAAAGCTTCATACTTGCTCAATTTTTATACTCAAGGCTGACATTCTGCCACTTGAGCCCTGTTTCCAGTCCAGTTGTTTGCTGGTTAACTGGAGATAAGATTGAACCTCAATCCTCAGGTCTTAGCCTCCTGAGTAGCTAGAATTACAGATGTGAGCCATCACCACCTGGCCTGGCTCTTCTAATGTTCTCTTTAGTGTTACTGGGGCTTGAACTTGGCCTTACACTCTTGCTTGGCTTTTTTTGCTCAAGGCTCGACTCTACCACTTTGAGCAACACCTCCACTTTATTATTCTTAAGAGTGCATGAACATTCTCGTTAACAGTGACTCAAATTTGCTTTTTCATTTCATGGGGCGATTTCCCAATCTGTTTACAATCACAGCTCCAAAGGTAACCTGGAGTTCAGAGAAGGCAGCTCATAGATAGAATGTCTGTTTAGGAGGAATCCTATCCCAGTGAGGTGCCATATTTGGATGGCTCACTGGGCAAATTACACAACTCATTGTCTCAAATGTTCTGAGTAGCTATGGATTATCTGGATTTAACTCTATTTTGTACTATTTTCATATATTCATGTGATGATTTTCCTGGGCTTCAGTACTTAACACCACACCAAATACAGCATCAACTGGCTGACCTTTCCCAAGTACTTTTGTACTGCATAGAAACTATCAAGTAGCTTATTGCCTTAAAGTACAAACTTTGTCGCAACCAACAGGAATGAACTTCAAAAAACAGGAAGCCCAGAGGTAATGTAGACCATCTGTAATAAATTAAAAGCTTTCTGCAACTACTAGAATATAGAAAGGGACCCTTCAACTTCAAAAGAAATAGTGCTTTAGGAAGAGTTCAATATGACATTTAGTTAAACACTGCTATTTCCACAGTACCCCCAACAGCCAAGACACTATAAGTGACCCAGTAAATTTAAAATAAAGCTCCAGATAACATTTATGATTTACCATCTCCTTTACCTCTGCTGTGGCTAACTAAAAATCCTGGTGCTGATTATTAAACAGTGTCCTTTTTTAAATCTCACTTCCACAAATACTATATAGATGCCATGTGAAAAAATGCAAACATTCTTCAATACAGAATTCTACTTAGAAGAAGACCTGATATTTACACAAGTAATATAAGTCAAATATTTTACATAGGAGAAAAGTTGCTAGCATTCTACCACTTGAGCCAAAGCTCCACTTCCTGCTTTTTCTGAATAGTTTACTGGAGATAAGTCTCATGAACTTTCCTGCCTGGACTGGCTTTGAACTGTAATCCTCACATCTCAGCTTGGTAAGTAGCTAGGATTACAGATGTGAACCATCAGTGTCTGGTCAGACTGGTGTTTCTTACAGAAAGGAAATCTGGTCACATGGAAACATGTGGATCTTTATTATCTTCCTGTTCCTCTGAGTTCCAGAAATACAAAGACAAACACAAAGCCAAGACTAAGGCACAGGACTTTAACAACAAGAAAAAAAGGCTTTTAGATACACAAGAAATCATAACATGCTCCCCAGCTATACCACACAGCTCAATCAATGCCTGGTGTGAATTTCTAAGTTCTGCTCTAGTGGAAGCTTTCCCCCGCTTTTTGTACAGGGTATACAGTATCAATAGAAAAAGGTGAATTCTGAAAAAACAAAACCAAGAAAATCTGAAAACTAACAACATCAAAACAACAGTTTTTTGAGTTGAACATGATCATCTTTATGATTCATGCACTAGGTCATGTTTTAATGCTGAAACATGGCTTTCATGAATGTGTGCACTGTGTGTTCACTGGGAAAATGACTGAAAATACTCTCGAAAGATAAGGAAATAGAGGGCTGGGAATGTGACTTAGAGGGTAGAGTGTTTGCCTCACATGCACGAAGCCCTCAGTTTAATTCTTCAGTACAATAGACACAGAAAAAGCAAGAAGTGGTTCTGTGGCTCAAGTGATAGAGTATTAGCCTTGAGCAAAAGAAGCTCAATGACAGTGCCTAGATCCAGAGTTCAAGCCTGGCCAAAAAAAAAAAAAGAAAGAAAACAAAAGAAAAAAGACTGGCTAAATAAATAAAGGAAATACAGACCTAACCATGCATTATCTTAAGATTTATTATACATGCATTTCAATAGATGATTAGACATAGCAGTAAATATTGATTTGCACTGAAATTCTATGCCCACAAAGTAAAATCTGAGGATTGGAGGTAGAGCTGTGGCTCTAAGTGGCACAGTGCTAGACCTGAGCAAAAAGCTCAGGGACATTGCCCAGGCCCTGAGTTCAAGCCCCACGACCGACAAAAACAGAAAAACAAAAAACTGAGAACTAGCCTCTTGAAATAATATAGAATGTGACCCACTTAAGTAACAGTCATACAAGTGAATGAAAAAGAATTAAATTTCAGCTGGGTGTTGGTGGCTCACGTCTATAAATCCTAGCTACTTAGGAGGCTGAGATCTGAGAATCTTGGTTCAAAGCCAGCCTGGGCAGGAAGTTCCATGAGATCCTTATCTCCAATAAACCACCAGGAAACTAGAAGTGGCGCTGTGGCTCAAACAGTAGAACACTAGCCTTGAGCTGAAGAGGTGAGGGACAGCACCCAGGCCCTGAGTTCAAACCCCACGACCAAAAAAATAAAGTAAAATAAAAAAAAATTAAAGTTCATAAGGAACTATAACATTAAGAATATTATTAAAGGAACTAGACAACTTCATTTTATCTGGGAAACATATGGCTGCAACCCACTCTGGTTTCAGACTCCTAGATGCATGTTACACATATGGATAAGGAATGCCAGCAGTTGTGAAATTCAGGTTGTGATTTGTGCTTCCCTAATTTATCATTCCCCCACAGTGAGATGTATCCACAAGCTGCCTAGTTTACAAATTCTACTCTCTAAGTCGAATCCCTAAAACGTAGGGTTGTATAGAAGTTAAACTATTTATATTCACTACCATCTGCAGAGCTCATATGTTTTTGGGCTGCTCGCCCATGTTCCCTTGGAGCTTCTATTTAATATTACTCAGTGAGAACTGTATTGTAAGTATTCTGACACAGCACTGGAAAAGAAAGAATAATACCTACACTACCAAACTCACAACTACTGCTCTTCCTGCAGTTCTTAGTATTGATGACCACTATTGTACCATTTCTTTCCCTGACCTCAGCACAAGGCAAGTACACGTTACTTAAAAAAGACCTCACTCAGGACTGGGAAGGTGGCTCAGTGGTAGAGTGCTTGCCTTGCATGCATGAGGCCCTGGGTTCGATTCCTCAGCACCACA